GGGGGGCTAGCTCCTTTGATCAGCCCATCGGTGCTTGGGAGACAGGAAAAGTCCGGAACATGGAATCCATGTTCTGCAATGCTGCGAAGTTCAACCAACCCATCGGGTCATGGAACATGTCTGCAGTCGGGGACATGTCCCTTATGTTTTTCGGAGCCAGCTCGTTTGACCAACCCATCGGTGCTTGGGACACAAGCAGTGTCCGAAACATAAAGGCCATGTTCTACAATGCTGCGAAGTTCAACCAACCCATCGGGTCGTGGAACATCTTTGCAGTCCTGGACATGTCCTATATGTTTTACGGAGCCAGCTCCTTTGATCAGGCCATCGGCGCTTGGGACACAAGCAATGTGGAAAACATGAGGAATATGTTTTCGGATGCGGTGACCTTCAATCAGTCCATCGGGTCCTGGAAGACATCGGCAGTGGAGAACATGCAACAGATGTTTTGGGGGGCCAGCTCCTTTGATCAGCCGATCGGTGCTTGGGACACGGCCAATGTCGGAGATATGAGGTCCATGTTCTACAATGCTGCCAAGTTCAACCAACCCATCGGTTCATGGAACACTGGCAAAGTCCGAGACATGAACACCATGTTCTATGGAGCCACCTCCTTTGATCAGCCCATCGGTGCTTGGGAGACGGGACAAGTCCGAGACATGAAGGGCATCTTCTACAATGCTGCGAAGTTCAACCAACCAATTGGGTCATGGAACACCTCTGCTGTCACTGACATGTCCTTCCTGTTTTACGGAGCCACATCCTTTGACCGACCCATCGGTGCTTGGGACACGGGCAAAGTCCGAGACATGAACACCATGTTCTGCAATGCGGCGAAGTTCAACCAACCCATCGGGTCATGGAACACCTCAGAAGTTATGGACATGTCCTTCATGTTTCAAAGAGCCACCTCCTTTGACCATCCCATCGGTGCTTGGGACACTGGCAATGTGAAAAACATGGGACATATGTTCGTGCGTGCAGTGGTCTTCAACCAACCCATCGGGTCTTGGAACACTGGCAAAGTCCGAGATATGAAGCAAATGTTCTATGATGCTGCGAAGTTCAACCAACCCATCGGGTCATGGAATACGTCCGCTGTGATGGACATGTCCTCGATGTTCACAGCAGCGGTCTCTTTCAACCAGCCCATTGGTGAATGGGACACTTCGCGGGTACATGACATGAAAGGCATGTTCGAAAAAGCACTCACCTTCGACCAGCCGCTGAATCATTGGGACACCAAGGCTGTGACTGACTTCTCTTTGATGTTTTTCCGTGCCAGCTCCTTCAACCAGCCAGTTGGATTGTGGGACACATCGGCAGCGACGGATATGAGAGAGGTGTTTGCAGGGGCCCATGATTTCGATCAGTCTGTCTCGACATGGAACCTGACATCAATCCCTGACGCCCAAGCTATGGCCCGAGCTTTCACGGGTTCAGGCATGTCAACTTGCGTGTTGCGTTTCAGTTCCGAAGCTTCGGGTTTGCCTCCCAGCATTCGACAGACTTGGTCATACCAACTCTGTCCGAGCTGCCCTTGTCAAAAAACCAACTTGGCATGTGTGGATGAAGCCTGTCAACCAGTGAACTCCGGCTTCGTCGAGCTTGGGAGAGGTGCTTGGGATGATCGAAATGCAAGTCTGACAACTGCTGTGGGCTTTCGAGCATGTGTCGAACGATGCGAAGACTCGGAGTGCCATGCCGTTCTTCTCGAAGACTCTGGGCGCTGCTGGCTGATGAACGACATGAACGACCAGAGTGAGCTCAGCTTGATAGGACATGGTGACATGGTCGGTTGGGTCAAGTTCCCACTTGAAAGTCTTGTCACATCACAAAAGCTAGCTTGGTGTCATATAATAGTTGTTTCGACAGTATATGGCTCAGGTTTCTTGTGACACAGCTCACATATATCAGGTTGCCTTTATATCAGGTTTCTGCACCGGCGCGGCCTGTTCATATGTTACCATTTCTCCCCTACCGCCCCCACATCTGGAGGATCGGGTCAGAGCTACTTGGCATTTCGCAGGGCCTCGTGCCGCACCTTCTCGTGCCCGGAGGGAACGACGCGGGCGACGACGAGTCGCAACGCTTCAGCCGCGACGGCGGCGGTGACGGCGGCCTCCTGTTGCAGGTGCGCTGCTCCCAATGAGGTTCCCATTCGGAGCAAGGAGCCTGTCGCTTGGAGCTGCCAAAGTGTGCAAAATCTCGTGGTGTTTTTGCTCCCTGTTTTTTGTATATATGTTTGTTCGATTTGGTTCGATTAAGCAAGATTCCACGGGTTCCGTGATCAAGAGATCCGACTGTTTTCTGAGATCTTTGCACAAGCTCAATCCCTGTGAGTGGCATGTCAGAATTGATACGTCAGGACCGTCAGGAAGTTGAAGACATTTTCTTTCTTCTTTCCAAAGGGTCGACAGCGAGCGGTGCATGTGTTTGCCCCAAAATGCCAAAGCACCACACAGAAACACCGAGGGGGTAGGGTGGGTAGGGGGGTCTTCGAAGAACATCGAAGAACTTGTCAGAAGCCAAGTACCCAGACGCTCCAAGCAGCCCTTGATCCCTCAAAACCTAGGGATTTGAGGGTCCGGACCTCTCCATATATAGGGCATATGAGGGTCCAGGAGTGTTTGGGTAGGCAAAAAAGTAGATAAATTTGGTCTTTCGGAAGACCTTTGTTGATCTGAGGACTTGGAATGCCAGAGCTGTGCAGCTGGAAAAGCTCCCAAGGATGATCGTTGTGAAGCATGCGCCTCAGGCGAAACCGGGGCGAAGAGGACCGTTCAGCGAGTTTCGGTGTTTCAGCGAGGTTGGAGCGGATTCCGTTTTGGGGAATCCTTCTGCGGAATGTAACACTTGTAATCTTTCTTGCACAGCTTTCCTGGCACCCATGTTGCCTTTCAAACATGTGAACAGCTCCCTATTCAAACTTCAAGGGCAGTCTCTGAGTGGTCACGCTGTTTGTTTGTACAATCTCTTTGTACATCATACCCTTCCGTAGCCCTC